TGAGGCGATTGAAGTTTCATTCCACTTGTATTGTGTTAGAATAGACATTACAGAACTAAGTCAAATTTGAAAGTTCAAATTCATAAAAATGGCTCTGCAAAATAAAAAGTAAAAAAGAATAAAGTAAATGGGGAAAGGGATAAAAAGTAAGATGCGCCCTACAAATTTAACACATCATCAGATTTTTGTGGCTTTGTGAGTTTTTCAAATATATATTACTGGAAAATTTATTTAATAAAATATACATAGCATAAAATTAACCATTTTAGCCTTTTTAAGTAAACAGCAACGTTAAGTATATTTACATTTTGTGCCTTCGTCACCACCATCCATCTCCAGAACATTTCCCTCTTCTCTAGCTGAAATTCTGTACCCATTAAACATTAACTCCCTATACTCTCCTTCCCCCAGCCCCTGGCAAACCACACTCTACTTTCTGTCTCCTAAGAATTTGACTATTGATATCTCATGTAAGTGGAATCATACCATATTTGTCGCTCTGTACTGGTTCATTTCATTTAGCATAATGTCTTCAAGGTTATCCATGATATAGCATGTGTCAGAATTTCATTTTGTTTTAAGGCTGAATAGTATTCCATTGTATGTACACACCACGTTTTGTTTATCCACCCATCTGTTGATGCACATTTAGGTTGTTTCTGCTTTGAGGCTATTGTAAATAATACTGTTACGAGCATTGTACAAATAACCTATTTGCACAAATAGTGTATAATGGTGTACAAATAACCTATTTGTGTACATGCTTTCCTTTCTTTTGGGCAGATACCCTGAAGTGGAATAGCTGGGTCAAATGGTGATGCTGTTTAATTTTATGAGGAATTGCCATACTGTTTTCTACAGCAGCTACACCATTTTATATTCCCACCAGCAGTGCACTGGGTTTCCAGTTTCTCTACATCCTTGCCTACACTTATTATCTTCTGCTTTTGACAATAGCCATCTTAATGAGTGTGAGGTGATATCTCATTGCATTATCAGGAAATTTTAATATTTAGCAGATAACTGACTGAACACTCAGATTAAAGGAAAGCCTGACAAATAATACAAGCTGTAGAATGATAGAGTTCTCTATATTGAGAATACACCTATTTATTACTTTCAGTTTTTTATGGGAATAGATATCTACAAGTCATCTATATTGAATTCCATAGAATTGTTTATCATGTTTAAGAGAGTGATTACTAGGGCAGCCTGGGTGGCTCAGCAGTTTAGCACTGCCTTCAGCCCAGGTTGTGATCCTGGAGACCTGGGATTGAGTCCCACGTCGGGCTCCCTGCATGGAACCTGCTTCTCCCTCTGCCTGTGTCTCTGCCTCTCTCTCTCTCTCTCTCTCTCTGTGTCTCTCATGAATAAATAAATAAAATATTTTTTTAAAAAAAGAGAGAGTAATTACTAGAAATTTAGCACAGACTACCGTAGGAATAAAGGCAACAATACAAACATAAGAAAACAGTGCCAAGATTATTAAGTTTAACTCAGATATTTTTAATTAAATAATCCATGGCTTGGATGGTACAAAATACCAGATGACACAAAAGAAGTATAAGCCATGGTCCCAGTTCTCAGGTTGCTGACTGATGAGACAATAAAATTCATTCAACAGCAAGAACAGTTGTAAGCCAGAATGTAATCAAGTGCCATAACAAGAGATACTCTGAAAGTACTTTTTGAAGAGGTAATGGGAGAGGAAGGGGGGAAGAGAGTGGTAAGAGCCACAGTAGTCAGAGACCTCTTCAAGAGGGAATTGTGGCCTGTCATGAACTGTAAATGCTAGGTAATATTTGGCCACAGAGGTGGGGACAGAGAGAGGCAGCAGAGATCTAGATTTGTGTTTATAATGAAGAATAATTGGATCAAGTGGAGCCAGACCATGGATTAAGGAATTTGTGTGTTTGTGTGTGTGTGTGTGTGTGTGTGTGTGTGTGTGTAAAAGGAGTGACAGTTGGGGTCCCTCGGTGGCTCAGTTGGTTAAGCATCTGCCTTCGGCTCAGGTCATGATCTCAGGGTCCTGGGATTGATCCCTACATCAGACTCCCTTCTCCACAGGGAGCCTGCTTCTCCCTCTCCCTCTGCTTGCCACTCCTCCCGCTTGTGCTCACTCTCTCTCAAATAAATGAATAAAATATTTAAAAAATAAAAATAAAAGGAGTGACAGTTGTTTTTTTAGAATGATTAATCTAGTGACAGTGTACTATTACTAGGGAGAAAGACAACAGGGAGGTTTTCTTCACCACCAGTGAAGACGTCATTGTATTAATTCAGATATGAATTGATTTATATTTGGGTATTAATGACAGAAGATATGAATAAATTTTCCAGATATCAAAAGGAAAACTTGAACCAGGGTCCCTTAATGGATTAAAGTAAGGGGTGCTGGAAGGAAATATTAAAATTAGGTGTCACTGAAGAAAGTTGAAACATCTTTAGTTGCACTGTTATTATATAGCCTGGTTGATCATATAAAAATTACTCAGTTGTTGAGAGGGAATTGGGAGTGAGGAGAATGCAAGTAGAAAAATATTTGATATGATTTTATAATAGCTTAAAGATTTCAAAGTGAAAATCAGTTTTATGGTGACATTCAGAGGAAAAGCTGGGGACAATCTGAATTATTTTTAAAAGATTTATTTATTTGAGAGAGAGAGGGAGTAGCGGAGGGAGAGAGAGCCTCAAGCAGACTCTGCACTGAGCATGGAGCCAAATGCAGGGTGTAATCTCCCAAACCTGAGATCATGACTTGAGCCAAAACCAAGGGTCAGACACTTAACTGGCTGAGCCCCAGGTGCCCCAACGATCTGAAGTATTAATAAAACTTTGTGAGGGATAAAAAGAGGAGCTAAAAAGAATAAAAAATCGTTTAATCTCAGATGAAAGAGAGGCCCACTAATAAATGAGAGGGTATGAACCCAAAAAAGCCTAATGATTAACTGAAGAATTTTAAACCCATTTTTAAAAGCTGACTTCACACAAGAAGTGAATTAACTAAAATTAGTTAAAAAGTATAGAAATAATTTGTTAAGTGATGATGACACTGCTCTAGCAATATCCTAAGGCAAATAAAAAACTCAAGAAACATTTTACCTCCTCACCTATAAATGATATTTAAAACACAGCCTTCTTAGTGAATAAAGGTAATTTTCAAGTATATTTTTGATCTGTAATGTGTTTTGTTCTATTAACTTGAGAATTAGAAAAAGGAAAAGAAAAATTGAAAAAGCAAAAAGAAAGCTTATTTCCATTTTATCTGTTTATATATTGTCCAATAAGTCTCATAAATTTTTAGTAAAAGCAGTGGGATAAATGTAGAAAGTAAATGTTTAGAAGGCTATGGACTACAGAGCTGACAAGAAATAAGCAATATTTGTATATCAAAAATATCTATACTGTTTAGAAATTAGCATTTGGACTGAAGTTTTTAGTTAATGGAAGGGTTAAGAATTTGTCACAGTTTCTCTCTTCATTTTATGCCATGCGGTTTTATTCAGGCACTTCAGTGTTCATACTGAAACCTACCAGTCTTGATCTCATTTTGTGAAACCTCTCATCCCAGGCAAAATTCATTTATGCTCTGTGTTAACTTGTACACACATATCTTGGATCATGCTTCCTTTAAAACTTCAAATTCTGAAGTTTCTCTAGATCATTCATTCTTAAGTATAAGCCATTCTCAATTGTGATCCTACACTTCATGCCTTAACATGCCTCCCACCTCAACCTGATGCACTGAAGTTAATCATTTCAGTTCATCTCATGGACCAAGAAGGTGGGAAAGTGGTATCAAGACTGAGACTGGTTAGAGCTCCTTGAGTTTCCCTGCATGGTCATATTTGCTAGAGAAAGACACCATTGTTCCAGAGATAGCTGCTCCCGCCCTATCATCAAGATTTTATTTTTAATTTATCCCCCACACACACATACCCAAAAATTGAAAGGTAACTAAGCCTTACCATATTAATATCTCCATCCCTTTCTTTCATTAGTTCTTCATTTGTGTACTTATTCATTCAACAAATGTTTACTGGCTGCCTATAATATGCCAGGCAGCAAATTTTCATACTCTAATAGAAAGTACATTTTTATTCATATAAGTATGTATGTATTATGTATGATGTATTTATTTTTAAACATTTTATGTATTTATTTGAGAGAGAGAAAGAGATCACAAACAAAGGGGAGGGTTAGAGGGAGAAACAAATTCCCCTCTGAGCGGGGAGCCCAGTGCAGGGCTCGATCCCAAGACCCTGAAATCATGACCTGAGCTGAAGGCAGGCCCTTAACCTACTCAGCCACTGAGATGCCCCTCATGTCAGTATTTAAAGACGCAAGTGCCAAAGGAAGAGGCAGTCTCTAGGCCTCCTACTCAGTCATCTTTGTAGGCATGAAACTCCTTGGGATGAGGAATTCAAGGACTATTAAAGCAGTTGTTTTATGTTTGGAAACATCTTTCTATTAGAAAATTCTGTATTTGACTCCCTGGAATTTTCTCATATTCTTCCAAGTTCTGCAGTGTACCCATGTAACCTTGTAAAAGCAAACCTAATTCCTCTGCTTTTAGATACTCTCTTTCATGCCTAACATAACATAATTGAAAATTATTATACCATCTGACTGAAACCTTTTTAAAGCTCTTTGTATATGCTTTTCACAACAATTTTCACACAGATTCAATACTACTAACACCAAGGAATCATCCAACCCAAACGGAATAGCCCTGTATTTTCTTTTTCTTTCTTTTCTTTTCTTTTTTTAAATTTTATGATAGTCACAGAGAGAGAGAGAGGCAGAGACACAGGCAGAGGGAGAAGCAGGCTCCATGCACCGGGAGCCCGATGTGGGATTCGATCCCAGGTCTCCAGGATCGCGCCCTGGGCCAAAGGCAGGCGCCAAACCGCTGCACCACCCAGGGATCCCGTTTTTTCTTTTTTTTTTTTTGCACAACGTATTACCACAAAATAATACATGTTTATTTAATCTCACAGACTCCATGGGTCAGGAGCTGGGGCATGGCTTATTTGGGTCTTCTGCTCAGAATCTCTCCAGGCTGCATTCATAGTGCCAGCCACGCTGTGTTTTCATCTGGAGCTTGGTTGGTATTGTCCTCAGGTTCATTTAGATGATGGGCAAAATTCCCTTACTTGTGGTCATGGGACTGAGGCCCTCCCTCGGCTGGAGGCCGTTCCTCTCCACAGGCAGTTTCCAGCCTGGTCACCATGGCTGTTGGCTTTAAGGCCAGCTCTTTCTAAGCTGTCTCTGCCCTCCATTATGGAAGTAGTATCCCCTCATATTCACAGATCCTGGCATCCTGGTCCCTCAAGGGGAAGGGATTCTACAAGGGCCTGGGTCATCGAGGTCATCCTGAAATTCCTCCTGCTATCACTTTCCTCATTTTAACATTGTCCCAACAATTAATACATTATAAAATTAAATTTGTTTTTGAGTAGCTACATCAAACTGACTGAGCTTATTCCTGCTAAAGACCCATGTCTTCAATTTATGCCTCTCCTAAGATATGCTCCAAACTGTGGTTCATGACTACTTGGTCCTTAGTACAGAATCTTATATTTATCTCTGTTAAATTCCATCTTGTTACATTCAACTGACCTAGCCTGTCAACATTCAAAACCTGTTTCTCACACAGTATGCTTACCATATCTTAACTTCAAGTGGATTTCTAAAACTAGCTTCAGAATTCTAAATTTCCAGCAAATACTGCTAATTTTCAGGGAGCTGCTACAGGCCAGACTTTGCTATATTATAAAATAACGTAACTTTGAAAAATTCAACATGTTTTATTTTTACTTTATAATGGTAGTACCTGCTCACAGATATATAGAAAAGTAAAATGAAAAAAACCTACATAAAAAAAAAACAAAAAAAAAACCCTGCATAGACATATATGTACTATATACAATATAGATTTTATTTTATTTTTTTAAAATTTTTTTAAAATTTATTTATGGTAGTCACACAGAGAGAGAGAGAGAGAGGCAGAGACACAGGCAGAGGGAGAAGCAGGCTCCATGCACCGGGAGCCCGACGTGGGATTCGATCCCGGATCTCCAGGATCGCGCCCTGGGCCAAAGGCAGGAGCTAAACCGCTGCGCCACCCAGGGATCCCAATATAGATTTTAAAAAACATCTTCAATATACCATATTCTTGTTTCACATAGTTGAGATCTTTAGAAACATTTTTGATTCTTCCATTTTACACTAATAATACTGTGATGATTTTCTAAGTTGTAAATACTTCATGACCATCATTTAAAATTGCATAATAATCTCAACAAATGTATTATTAACTTTTTCTATATTGTTAGGCATTAAATTATTAAATTGTTCCCAGTTTCATGCTATTCTAGGTAATACTAGAATTATTTTTTCCACAAAGCTTTTAAAATATTTGAAGTATTTTTTAAAGATAGATTCTAGAAATGTTAAACCAGAGGCAGTGACATTTTCTGAGTGTTAGCTTATTTATGCTCTTACCAACAACAAGTGAAGTGCCTACCTATTTCATAGCACCTTCTGTGGGTGGGGATGTGTTTTGTGGATGTACCAGACTATGAAAAATTTTATTGTGAAAGTAACAAGTGAGTATGAACAGAAATAATCATTTCTTGGATTTCTCTGTTGTAGGTCTGATTATTTACCATAAAAGAGGTTTAGAATACCTCTATTCTAAGGTACGTATAGTATTATAGAAACAGTAATGCGGTAAGCAAAACACCCTTCAGGAAAAGCAGCTTTGCTCTGATGCGCACCCTTATGTATGCTAAATGAGCTTAGAAAGTTTTTTTTTTTTAATAAGCTACAGCTTCTCAAAATATGCATACTTGAAAAAGTACAGGAATGAATTGAGGAGAAGTAAAGATTAGTGCATAGTCCTGAGTGAGGAGTAAGATTATTCACTCTCAATGTGCTATATACAGTATGGTTAATTGGAATTGCACAAGCATGCTGTATGTGAGGCTATAACCTTCCTTACTTAGTGTCTTTAACCTGCAAAAAGTGAAAATGTAACCACTCTTCTCCTTCCTAGTGTCTATTTTTGTTGATTCCCCTTTCTCCTTTTCAATATATTTGAGAAAACATGGATTTTGAGGTCAGAAAAGCCTGGGAACCTTGGGTAAGGTACATATAAACTCTCTGAGTCTTATTTACTGAGTTTGGAAATGGGAATAATAATGTTTATGTAATAGGGTGGTCGTGAGGGATTAGAAGAAATGTTTGCAAAACTTTCAGCATACAGTAAGAATGTAGCCAGAGTTTGTTCCTTTTACTTTCCATACTCAAAAAAATTTGCAACTAACCCTTTGGCAGTTAAACATTTTAGATTAGAATTGGTTTCAAATAGCTGAACAGTTATATTCTGCTTTTTATTTTTTGGCTGGTTTTCTCTAAAAAATTTTTTCGAACACATTGTATACTTCATTGCTTCTTTCTTAAATTGTTGTGCAATACCATTGGTATTTATAGGTAGTGTGAAGCATAGGGCTAAAAAGCTTCTCTTTCTCTCTTGAGATTGCTAAAATCTACTGGTTGGCACGCAGCCCAGCCCACTTTATGGCTGGCTATTCTCTGTGGTCTAAAATGTCTGCAACTTGCCACCTCTGTCACAGCTTCCCATTTCTGCTGGCTGCTACTGTTGCTGCTCCCATTCTTTCTTCTAATTGCTATCAGTTTTTGCTGGCCCTCTTACCATTTCTCTTCTCTACTCCTTGTTTTCCTTCACTTTTCACTTTCCAGGTCTCTTCAGTTTTGTATTGCATCTGATAGTTTATAGGCAAATTGGCCATTCATTGCTTTTGCAAACTAGATAGAAAAATCCTTCTATCCAGTGAGCTAGCTGGTCGCAACATGTTTAATGTGGTCCTTATCAGCATTTTCCCTCCGTGCAGTGAGGTCCTTGAGAATGCTAAAAAGCAAGTCCTTGGATTAGTGAGGTATGACTATATTTGGTTTTCTTGCAAATCATTTATTTTTCTTTAGTCTTATTTAGCTTTAATTTTATGCAAAGTTTTGTGTTAGATATGATGGTAATAGGGGCCTCGCAAGTTAAAGTATGCCATGGTCCTTCAAAAGAGCAGGGGAACACATATTCACAAATAAGACAAGGTAGAGAAGGGAGGAGAGGGACAAAGATTTAGTTAAGGATTGGGAAGTCTCAGAGTTCTAGCAAAAGTTCCAAAAAAGAGTGATTGCCTTTAAGTCTAGTCTCAGAGTAGTGGGTAAGAGTTTCAAGTCCCTGCCAGAGTCAGAACAGAGAAACAGACCAGATAGAGGGGAGCTTTCATGATTCTCTCCCACTGTAAAAGTAATGATAGAGCATCAGTGGGATCATGGGCACATTTTCCCTTTTCTTATTTAAGAGTCTGGGTCTTTAGATTTCTTGTATTATTTTGTCATTCATTTGTATTCCTTATAAATTTTTATTATTGACTTGGAAACAGAAAGGAAATGGAGGTATAGTGGAGAGGTTGTATATTTCTATGCTTTTATAGTCTGAATTTTAAGCATGGCTGAATTTTTCTACACTCTAACTTTACTATATGATTTTGTTTATTTTAATTCAACTGAGTATTTTTATTTTACCCTAATGTATGATCCCTTACAAAGATTTCAAATGTATAACCAATTTTATCTGAATTGTTTTTGCTGCTGTTTATAACAACTCTATATTTATTAAATTTGAACATTTCTTTTTAAGCTAAAACAGAAAGGAAAGGCATAAATAACCATGACAAACAACCTTTTCTGGTGTGGTCATTTGAAATGAAACAACCGAAAAATTTAATCAACTTAAATTTTAAAAAATTAGCTGATATAAGTTGTAAACCAGATGAGTAAAAGCTTTCACTTACTCATTCTTGACATTCAATTCCATTTATTCTTTGTAATATATTTTAAAAGAGAATGTTTATAAAGACTAAGCTTTGGTTTCCTATATCCTGTGTTGAAGTTACCAAGAAAAAAATGTTTGGAATCATATTCTTGCTTTAATACAAATTCCACTGAAACACACAAAGAGGAATAGCAGAGGTAAAGATTTTGTAAATATAAAATAGTGTGTTTTATTAAAGCATCATAATCATAATAGTAAAAGTATTATAATACAGGAGTTGATTTAAAATAATTATGAACTATGATTAAAAACTCAATAGGCTTTATATTACTCATTTATTACCATCGAGTTCATTGATTGTACATTTCTTAAGTGCTTATGATGTACTAGGCATACAAAAAATGAATAAAAGAATTTGCATTTGGGTCTCTAAAGACTGTGATTTGATTAGCAACCAATTTAAAATAATCGTCTTTGTTTACCCAGAAACTTATTCTTTAGACATATCAAGGTACTTAGAAATACAAATAACTCAGAATTGAGGAAAATTCTTGATGTCTTCTTAAAGCCTACTCTTTTCTCTAGTACTCTTGGAAGATAGGAAAGATAATAGAATTAGAAGACAAGCTGGTTGTCCTCCTATCTTTCTCTTCCTAACTTGCCAATCAGTTCTGTGATTGGAGTCATGGTTCTTATGTTTGTATCCCTGCTCTAATTGATTTCTGGGTGGACATGCTGTAAGTCAAAAGATCAAAAATCTCAACATTTTACATTAAATGCTGGAACACTTCAGCCTACAGCATGTGAACTCGAAAGCCCCAAATTAGACCTGGTAATCTGAAAACATAGCAAACAAGAAATAAATGGGAAGTAACCGTGTCACGCTTGTAATTGTGAAGGGCCATTTACAAGTAGCTGTGATTTAAAAAAAAAAAAACAAAAAACAAAAAACAAGTAGCTGTGATTTTAATTGATCAGTTTTTATTGGAAAAAGCTAAGTAAAAATTATCACTGAAAAATGTCTGTAAACATATAGATGGTATCCAGGTATTCAGAGAAAATGCAAACAAATAGTAACATTTTCTTGTTTAAAATTTAATAACAATAGATTTCAGACATTTTGTAAAGGTGCAAGTAAGTATAAAGAAAAGGATTTTAGTCATCTTTAATTTCAGCCTTGAGATGACCCCTTATCACTTTTGATGCTTTCCTTATCTTTTTTTCTATAGGTAGATGACACATTTTAAAAACAAAAGTGGGATCATCCTGTCCATAGTTTTATAACCTCCTTTATCATTAATATCTTCTCTTATCCATTAGATATTCTTTACTATAATTTCTGATGGCTCTCTAGGATTCTGTCAAGCAAGTGTATCATCCTGTAGCCACACCACTGGTAAGATGCTTGTGTTGTTCTCTTTTTCAGTATATGAGCCAGACTATAAACTCCATGAGCACAAAGACTATAATGTATTTATCATTGTGGCCCTAGTATGTAGGCTTTCAGAAAATAGGTGTTTAACTCTCCTACCCTTCTTTGTACCTATGCCAGGAGAAAAGTCCACACCTGTGCTCACTTCAGAGTTATGACCATTAATCCCAAGTCCTGCCCATTTGAGTGTCAGCCCTCAGGGCTGCCCAGTATTCACACCACATTACCTTACTTCATTATCTATTCCACTCTGCTAGATAACTCTTTCATTTACTGTTCTCTCCTTAAAATCCAAACACCTCCTTCCTCATCCTCATTTTCTGCTGATGACCTTTCTTCCCATTTAACTGAGGAAATGAGTCATTTTTTAAGAACGTGCACAAGTTCTCACTGTCATATCTACCCACCTCCCTGCATCTGTGCTTATATAGACCTCCTTCCCCTCCTTTGAGTAGCTGATACAAATGTATGAACTCTCCGTGCTCCAAAAGTCAGCCCCTCTCTTATGTACGATCCCATTCTACTTAAGGATCTTTTTTGCATGATCAGTTTTCCCTCTCTTCTGTATAAATGCCATGAGTATACAGATATGCTACTATCTCTGCCCCATTTAACTGTCCAACTACCACCTAATTTCATTCTTTATGGCAAAATTCCATGAAAGAGTTGTTTATGCTCTAACTCCTCCTTTCCCATTATCTCTTGGGCCCACTTGAAATAGGTGTTCACCTCCACATTCTTCCAGTTCTTATCAGGAAAACCACTAACTTCCACTTTGATAAATCCAATGATCATTTTTCAGTTCTTACCATACCTGATCTATCAGCAGCATTTGGCATAATTGATTATTTCTTCTCAAAATACCTTATATTCTCTTATGTTTCAGGACATTACACTTATCTGATTTTCTTACTACCTTACTGGACTTTTCAGTTCCTTTGGTTGCCCCTTCTCCTATCTTCTAGGTTGCCCTAGAGCTCAATCTTTGGATCTCTTCTTTTCTCTGTACCCAAATCTTTGGTGATCTCATCCAGTCTCTGGGCTTTAAGTATATGCTCACAAGTCCCAGATTTATATCTCCAGCCCATACCTCTCTCCTGAACATCAGACCCATATATCTAACTGCCCACATGACACTCTCTTAGGATGTCTGATAGATATCCCACACTTAATCTGTGCAAAACCAGACTCATGATCTTACCATGAAACCTTTTTTATCCCAAGTCTTTCCCATCTTTTTTTTTAAAAAAAAAGATTTTATTTATTCATGAGACACACACACACAGAGAGAAAGAGAGAGGCAGAGACACAGGCAGAGGAGAAGCAGGCTCCATGCAAGGGCCCAATGTGGGACTGGATTCCCAGTCTCCAGGATCATGCCCCGGGCTGAAGGTGGCACTAAACTGCTA